GGATGAGCTGGGGCTGGGCACAGGCATGGCATGGCATGGCAGGGCAGGGCATGGCAGGGAGCGCAGCGGTGCCGCCTTCCACTCACCGACTCCTGCAGCCCAGCTGGCAGCCCCTGCGGGTGGAGCCGGCGCCCGCCCTGGAGCCTCCTCTCCTCCCGCACCCAGCCACCCCAGCCACCGCAGCCCAGCCAGCCCTCTGTGCGCCCTGCTAGCCCTCCCTCCTCACCCACCCAACCCTCTCTTCCCTGCAGGCCCCCCCGGCACCGGCAAGACCATGGCCGCCAAGCGGCTGGCGCGCACCAGCGGCATGGACTACGCAATCCTGTCGGGAGGAGACGTGGCGCCGCTGGGAGGCAACGCCGTCACGCAGGTGCGCCGCTGCGCGCCTGCATGTCTGTGCGGCTGCGTGCCTGCATGTTTGTGCGGCTGCCTGCCTGCACATGCGTCTGGCTGCGGGCTGGAGGGGTGCCAGCCTGGAGCAGGGCGGCACCGGTGGCGGCGGGACGGGATGGGGCATGGGCTGCCTTCGCAGGCGGCGCTTGGCTCGCCGGCGAGCGGCCGCTCGAGCCCGCCACCATCACCCTCCCCATGAAACCATCGCACATACACACTCCACCCACCGCGGCCCCTGACACCACCCCTAACGTAACGCACCTTCCCGGCAGCTGCACGAGACGTTTGACTGGGCGGAGCGCAGCCGCAAGGGCCTGCTGCTGCTCATAGACGAGGCGGACGCGTTCCTGAGTGCGTACCGCATGTACCGCCAAATGTACCGCATGTACCGCCCGACGCACTGCTCCTTATTGCGCCACACCTTGCTGCACGTGACTGCGGTGCACGCTGTGCTGTCGCCGCTGCTGCCGGCGGCCTCGCCTGTGCTGCTAAATGCCCTGCCCGGCTACCCAGCCGCCTCCACCACCCGTCCCGACGTTCCTTTCCACCTGCCCACCACACTCCCGCAGGCCGCCGCGGCGGCAACCTGTCTGAGGGCAGCCGCGCCGCCATCAACGCCTTCCTGTACCGCACAGGCAAGGCGGTGCAGTTACACCACGCCCCACCTCGCGCGCAGCGCTGCCGCATGTGCAGTCCAGCGGCACGCACACCAGCCAGCCGGGCCGCCCAACCCAGCACCCTCCAGCCTGCCGCTGACCCTCCCTTTCCTCCCGCCCCACCACCCACCACCTGCCATCCCTCCCCGCTGTCCCCTCCCCTCCCCGTCCCTCCTTTCCTCCCGCCGCAGGCGAGCAGTCGCGCGACTTCTGTGTGGTGTTGGCAACCAACCGCCCCTCAGACCTGGACCCCGCAGTCATCGACCGCACAGACGACGCAATTGAGTTTGGGCTGCCGGGGGACGCGGAGCGGTGAGGTTGGGGCAGGGGTTGCTGGGGTAGCGGCTGTAGCTGTGGGGTAGCTGGGGCTGAGCGGGGGGGTTTGCGGAGCAGGCTTCTTCTCCCTGGTCAATTAAAGCCTCGCTCTCCCCCCCCCCCTTTGTGGTCCCGCAGGCACCGGATACTGCAGGTGTACTTTGAGCAGTACATCCTCAAGGCCGGCACCGCCGGCGGCGGCGCCGGCGCGGCGGCCGAGCGCGGCCTCTGGGCGCGGCTGGGCGCGGCGCTGCGGGGCCGGAAGGGCGGGCCCGACCGCATCGCTGTGAAGGATGTGGGGGACGAGGACCTTTGGTGGGCCGCAGAGCGCACGCAGGGCTTCTCGGGTGGGTGGCTGGTTTGCAGGCGGGGGGGCTGGAGTGTGGGTGCCTGTGTGGTGGTGGTGGAGGTGAAGGATGGCGGGAGAGGCTGGCGTGCCGCCGTGGGTGCCTGTGTGCAGGCCTGGCCAACCTGCAGGGCACGTGGGGCTGCACCGGCTGTCCGTGGCTCATCCCGTGTCTCACCTGGCCTTCTCCCCACCGCCTTGCCCCCTCCCACGCACGCCTCCCTCCCTCCCTGCCGGCAGGCCGCGAGCTGGCCAAGTGCATGGCCTCTGTGCAGGCCATGGCCTATGGCAGCCACAATGCGGAGCTCAGCTCCGCCACCTTCCGCCGCCTGGTGGAGGCAAAGGTGGGGGAGCACGGCAAGCGGCGGGCCTTCATCGACGCCGGCGGCGGCGATGCACCCTACTAGACGGGCCGCCGCTGGAGGGCCCTCGTGTGTGCTGGCGCTGCTGCCGGGCCAGGCGTGGCGTGGCATGGCGTGGCTGGCGCCTCCTCGTCTCCCGAGGCGGCCTGGGCTGCGCCTGCCCTTCTTTCCTGCCGCGCGCACGCGGCTCGCTGCTCACGCTGACTGCTTATGCTCTGCTTTCCAACCGCAATCAAACCGCTCCCGCAACCTGCGATCCATGGATGCCATGACTTGCTGCCCTCAGAAATGAATGCCCTTGATTTCCCGCCCCGTGTGTCTGTTGCGCGCGACGCTGGCGGCGCATTGGCCGCCGGCGGGTGTGCCGTGTGGCTGGGCCGTGGCTGCACTGCCGGGCCCCGCCTTGGTCCCATGCGTGTAAAGACGTGGAAATGAAGCTGGTAGAATTTCTGAACCCAGTGCATGGGATGAACCTTGCCAGCAGCATCTGGTTGATGAGCATGCCATCTGCCAGGCATGGGAGGGAGAGCAGAGCACTCACGGTGAAATGTTCACCAGGAGAAGCGCGTCCGCCGCCGGCGCGCTATGCTTGTGCTGCGCTTTGCCAAGCACATACCGCTGTCTCCCCAGTATCACCCCGCTTCTTCGGTTGCAGGATTGAATCCGTCCAAACCCAGCTCTGCAAGGCCACCAGAGGTACCTGTGCAAGTGAGCGTCCTACGACATGGCCTTGGTTGGGCGAATCCTTACTGTCAACTGCGGCAAAGGCACCGGCCAGCAGGGTGCGACCAAGGAGAAGACGCAAGAGAGCCTCGCCGCCCTGTGCCACGCCCTCCAACCGGACATCATCCTCCTGCAGGAATACAGGTGAACAAACCGATGAAACCGCGCTTGTTCACCGTGGATTACCACCTCCGCTGCGGTGCCGGTTGCAGCCTGCCTCCGATGGGCCGCCTCCTGTGTACCTCTGCCGCTGGCGCTGCTGCCGCTGCCGCAACTAGCCGTGGCCAGCCATCTCACCACGTGTGCACAGCGGCTGCTGTCACTGCCAACGCAGTTTCAGCGATCTGGATGAGCTGGAGGAGGCACTGCCAGGTGGCAGGGCTCGCTGGCAAGCGCTTCAGCTGTACCGTGAAGCAAGCTTTTCCATGCCCGTGCCGATCGTGCTGCACGACCATACCAAGTTTCTGGGGCGTGCTGCCCCACTGCATTTGCTGGAGCCGGGCGCAACCAGTGGCAGGTAGCCACAGTCTGCCACGCATCGGCTGTGCATGAGCATCAGTGCACATGTTCCCCAAGCCGGGCGTGTTTCTTGCACCCTTCCAGCGCTGGTAGCATGTCCCTCTTGTCGAACTGCAGGTCAACCCGTCCCGAGGCGGAGGAGAGGTTTGAGGGGCGCTACACAGCTGCGCGTCTTACCAGCACAACGCGCAAGGAGTGCCAGTTTGTGGTTGTCAGCTACCACGGCAAGTGGAAGAACATAAGAAAGGAGCGCAGAGAGAAAAGAACAGACAGCACAGCAGTTGAAGACAAAGCGACGTCTGATAATTGCCGCAGCTTCATCAGGGCAGTGGGGGCAGCTGCTTCCCATCTGCGCATGCCTGCGGTGATTGGCGGGGACTGGAACTTTAGCATGGGGGATAGGAAGATGCCGACGGACGAAGCTTGGGAAATCAGGCTCAAGTGAGTGAGCCACTCGCGAGCACCGCGTTGCCCTGCTTTCCAATTCCTCTGCTTACCAGGTTTACTGTGTGGCACCGTAGGACTGTGGGTGGCTACTTGCCCCACGAGGACGAGTGCAAGCGGTACAACCATCCCTGCTTTGACTTCTTCTGCACCATCTGGCCCCTCAACTCCCCGGGTGAGCTGCTAATTGCTGACAGGCGCCCTCAGCAGGAGCTGCAGCTGTGCACACAGCTGTGCACACATTTACTTGTTTGCAGTGTGGCCTCGCCTTCTTGCACACACGCCTTCCCGTGCGGCATGCAGACCCACCCGGCGTGGTGGTGGCCAACAGCGTGCGAGCGCATGCCCACCTGAAGCACGCCACCCGCTATGATCACGACCCGGTGTACTGTGAGTTCCTGCTAGCCACGCCCGGCCTGATTGCCAGCTCGCTGCCGACCGGCATCCGGGATGACGACCTGGTGAGGCCTGTGTCTGCACCAGAGCTGCCCTTCCTTCTGCAACAGGCCCTCCCGACAGCCACCTGCATTCCATGCCCAGCACACGATGTCAGGTGGTGGCTCCCCACCCAACAGGTGCCTGAGGTGGAGCTGCGGTTATTGACGCGGCCCCATCTGCGGCAAGCCGTGCATGCCAAGGGCATTGATGCGCCCACGCATTCCAGGGTCCTGCGCCAGGAGCGCGTGACCCTGGTCAAGCAGCTGTTGAAGTCCGGCGTTCAGTACCGCCACCTTTGCACCTCGGCACGGCAGTACCTCGGCTGCCTCAAGTGGCAGGGAGGCGGCTTGGCAGCTGGTAGCAGCCAAGAGGCAGCTGTACATGAGAAAGAGGCAGAGGAGGAGCAGTCGGAAGTGGAGTCGGACTCAGAGGAGGAGAATGAGGAGAACAAGGAGGAGGAGGCAGGACTGGAGCACAGGAATGCCGCAGCTGCCGAAAGCGCCAAGGTTGCAATAATGAATGCGCTGGAGGACGTTGCTCCCGCACAGCAGGTGGGCCTTTTTTCATGGACCCGCTGCTGGTACGTGCGCGTGCGGTGTCGCCCACCATCTCCAGACGCATGCCTGCAGTCCTCTCAACTGAATGAACCGCCGTCGCTCGGCGCATGCTGCTTGCCGAACTCGGTGCTTCTCTTGTTTGTTATCCTGCAGGACATTGAGCAGGAGGTTGGACAGCTCAGCTATCGGCAGCTGCAGAAGCTGTGCAAGTATCTGCGGCTGCCGGCTACCAAGAAGACGGCCGAGCTGCAGGGCTCATTGCTGGCGGAGCAGCACAAGCTCCTAGAGTTGCGGACGCGGCTTGAGCAGGTAGAGCTGCTCCAGGCAGCTGCCTGCAGCCGGGGACTGTGGCATGCAATGCATGCGGGCATGCTGGCACCATGGGCATGGGCAGGCAGGCATCTCATCTCCATGCGTGACCCTGGCTGCCGCTTCTGATACAATTTGTTGCAGGTGGTGCATGCTGCGCTGGAGCAGGAGCGCTACCGCGGCTTGCAGCAGCTCAGCAGGGCTCTGGGGCTGCCCGCAAAGAAGACCACGTCCACGATGCGCGGCAGGCTGAGGCAGAAGACGCAGAAGCTGGCCACGCTGATGGATGTCCACGAGCTCATGGCCCTACCAGGCTCCGGGCCAGATGAGTCCGCGCCGCTCAAGCTGCCATCAGAGGCAGCAAAAGCCGCCCAGCCAGCCTCGGCACCAATTTATCTGGCACCTGCGGATCCCACCGTGCCAGAAACGCCGAGAGTGGAGGCGGCAGCGGCGGGTCCCAGCACGCCGCCCCCGCCTGCCCGACCTGCTGCGCAGGCCTGCGCCTAGGCTATTACCCCCGCATGAGTGCTTTGGTCTGGTCTGGTCACCATTGTACTTTGCAAAAAATAGCGTGTCATGGCGCTTGAATATAGGTGGATGTCACTTGCACGCCGTGCCGCCCGAGCTGGCCGCCCTGCAGCAGCGCCAGGGGATAAAGATTGCGGGGTGGCCTGAGCAAAGCTGCCCGCTAATGTTCCATTGTTCTCCTTGGCCTGCATCGTAAGTCCAAGTTGTTCAACAAACTGGAAGTTCGAGTCAGAGCATGTGCAGTGTTCAGGGCATGTAAAGCGTTCATTGCGAGCCAGCAGTGTTAGTGGCAGTAATAACTGTAGAGAGCTGGCTGTAGGGGGCGGGGCCCTCACTGCTTCTCCTGGTCCGCCCTCACTTCTTCTCCTGGTCCGCCCTCACTCCTTCTCCTGGTCCGCCCTCACTTCTTCTCCTGGTCCCGGAACAGCTCGTCCACCGCAATGCACAGCGCCGCCAGGAAGGCCAGGTCGGTGCCCGGCTGGGCCTCGATGAAGTATGTGTGCGAGTCGGTGAGCATGGCCTTGGCAAACGCGCCCGCGCTGCTGAACCGGCTCTCCTTGCCGATCTGCGGGCGGCGGGAGAGGGCGGCAGGCCAGGGTTGGAAGGGCAGGGCAGGGGCAGGGGGGGGCGGGGCCACGCCGAGGGCCGCACACGAGCAGGCACGAGGGCAGCATGCCCCTGGGCGTGGGGGCCTGAGCGAGGGTGGGCGCCAGAGGGCTGGGCCGCCGCCGCGCTGCTGCTGCAGCAGGCGCACCTTGGCAATCGCGGTCTCCTGCCCCCCCGTCACCGCCAGCACCTCGAATTTCTTGGCCAGGAAGTTGCCTGGAGGAGGGGCGGCGAAGGGGAGGAGGGGAGTGCACTTAGATACACTGGCGCAGCAGAGGACACGCGGCGTCGCATTTGCCGGTGGAAGCTGGCGGCGGCTACGTGCATCGGGGCTGGCGCACGGCGTGGCTCTGGCTCGACTGCTCTGCAGAAGAAACAGCAGGGGCAGCGGCAGTCCTGCTGCCTCACTGGCAGGCCCGCCCCTCCCACCCACCCTTGCACTTGAAGGCCGCCTCCTCTTGGCCCTCCAGGAACACGCCCACAGACGGCTTCAGCGTCAGCAGCTTCTGCCTGCAGCGCGCGATGGCGGGGAGATATGAGCATGTGCCAGCGGATGCCAATCGCTGCCAGGCAGCTAGCTGCAGCAGCCCTCCCTGCGCAGCGGCGTTGCCCCCAGCACGCATCCATCGCCGTCGCCGCCCCCCCGCCTCGTCCTCACTTGATGGTGGCCACCGGCTGCTGGAAGTCGGCGCCGCGGAAGAGCTGCCACGCGGGCTTGAGCGAGATCAGCTTCTTCTGGAGCGCCGCCACGGGCCGCCCGGCGCCATCCACCAGCACCCGCTTCTCCCTCATGCTGAGCAGCTTGGCATCTACCCTGAGATGCGTTTAGGGTTTGGCATTGGTTGGGGTCGATATGGTGCCAAGGGAGGAAGCAGCCAGGAGCGGCAGCCAGGCCGGCACAGGTTGCGAGGGCAGCGGCGAACAGGCAGCGCTCACGGGGACCCACGCAGGGGCCCCGCTCACTTGAACCACACGGTGCCGTCCTCCCCGGTGATGCTGAAGTCGTCGCCAGTCAAGCTCATCGTCTTTTCCTTTGCCTTGAGGACCACCTGCTGGCAGGAGGGCAGTGGCAGCGGTGGGCTGGCTGGCGGGAGCAGGGGAGGCGGTTGCGGGCGGCGGCCCGCTCGCTTGCCTGGCCCGGCACGCAATAGGCGGCATCGATGACTGGCATGACCGGCCCTGTGGCATGGCCAGCGCCATATGGCAGGTTGCCGCCGATCTGGGCCATTGCGCGTTGAGATTTGAGGGCAGGATCCACGGGTTGCTGTCGCCAAGAAGCAATCAAACACGTCTTGGATGCGCGAGAATGTATGCCGACCGCTGAACGACACCATTTCAGGGCGCTGGCCCCGCGCCATGGTGGCAGCAAGGGCGGCTCCTACGCAGCTTCCCAGGCTTCTGGTGAGCCGCTCATGCCCCCGCAGACCTCCCTCACCCTGCCCCCACCAAATAGCACATACTGGCACGTGACAATCATTGCAGCCTGCCCTGATGCATCAGCTGAAAGCTGTTCAGGCAGCGGCTGGAAACGGCAGCGCCGCTGGGAAGACGAGTCATGGAGGCAAAAATCAGCCAGGTGGTTGTTCAACAGGTGCAGAGCAAAGAAAAGAAGCACACTCATGAAGCCATGCGGGGGTGGGCCGCTGCGCCACGTCACAGCGCTCTTGCCCCACAGGGAGCGGGTCTCGCCGCGTGCGACTCAGGGTGCTACTTACACTCCATTGATGCACACGACACAATTCAGCCATGCTGTTGCTCTGAAGACCTTTTTCTCCGTGCAGCAGCTATGCAGTCAGGCGCCGCCACCGCCGCCGCCGCCGCCCAGCTGCCAGCCCGCCAGCTCCGCCAGCAGCGGCATGCCCTGGAACTCGGCGATGTTGGCCAGCACACCCAGCTGCTGCCGCGCCGTGGCCTGCAGGGCGCATGCACGGTTGGGAGTTAGGTGGGGTCCCTATGGAGGAGGGAGGATGGGGCGGCGAGGGGGCCTTGCCGCGGCTCGACAATGGCGAGCGCCACAGCCAAGCATGTGTAAATGTCGAAGCAGCCCCAGGCGCGGTGCGGCGCCACCCACCGGCGGCTGCGTGCCGCGCAGGTGCCCGCCGCACACGTCGCAGCTCTGCTGCAGGTGGTTGGTGGCCACCGAGGCGCACTTCATGCACCGCAGGTCCTGCAGCTGGTAGCCGTCGGCGGCCTGCAAGGGCAGGATGGCATGGGGACAGGGGGGGTCATGAAGGGGGTCCGGCAGGCACAGATGTGGAGTGGGGAGGTGGAGGGAAAGGGTTGGGGCAGTTTTTCGTCGCGTGGATGGTTTCGGCGGCAGAGGCAACGCGCTGAGTACTCTACTCAGGGGGTGCGCGCTGGGACACAGCTGAGCTGAACAGTGCAGGTAGAACTGGCGCACCTGCTGCAGCACGCCGCACAGCTGCTCCTCAATGGCCGTCACGTCCCGCTCGGCGCCGCAGGCCGAGCAGTGCCAGTCGCGGCGCTGGATCTGGGGGGGACGGGAAGAGGCGGAGGCGGGTGGTTGGTAAAGGGAGGTGTGGGGAGGTGTGGAGGGAGGCGAGCGGGCAGCACATGTGCAGGGTAACGAAGCCGCCATGCCGGGCGGCTCTCACACAACTGGCGCCGCCACGTGCCACCCATGCCCGCTACCGACCCCACCCATTCCACATGGCGTGTTTTTTTCCAGAAACGCCACCCTCCCACCACCACCACCGTGCGCATCCACCCACCGCCGGGTCGCGGCACAGGTCCAGGTCTTGGCAGTCCTGGCAGGTGGGGCAGATGACGTCGCGCAGCACCAGCGTGAGGCAGGGGTCCTGCGCGGGGGAGGGCGGCGGTGGTGGTGGTGGTGGTGGTGGTGAAGAGAGGTGGGAGTCAAGGAGCATGTGAGGATGTGTGTGACGCAATGCGTCTGCCACCCACTGTCCCCACACCAGCATTCACGTGCTCCTGTTGGGTGCCAATAGACACACAGACAGACAGGCAGACCTGCAGCCAGCCCTGCACCCCACCTTGAACTCTGCTGCCGGGGAGAACTCCTTCACCTTCATGGACTGCAGCATGCTGCGGCGCAGCCGGGCCACCTGCAGGCGGTACAGCAGGTGGTACAACACACGCGGTACAGTGGGCGGAACAGTGGGCGGTAGCATCCCGGGCAGCGGGGTGTGGCCGCGCAGCAACCTCCAGGCACGGGGCTGCTGCTGGCGGGCTAATTGTCAGTAGCACTTGCATTGCTGCTGCTGGCCCTGCGTGGCGCTGGCGCGAGCGCCCCCCACACACAGTGCACAGGACACCATTCATCCGCCCACCCAACCAGCCACCAGCCACTCCGCCACCGCCCATCCCCAGGCCCGCGCCACCCGCCCACCCACCTCGTCCGCCACCTCGCCATCCAGCGCAAACAGGTGGCACACCGCGCGCACAAAGGCAAGGGCGGGGGTGCCCAGCTCCTCGTCGGTCAGGTGGGAGCCCGCCAGGCGCGGGAAGGCGTGGCCGGGCTGGCCGTCGTGGGCGCCGATGTTCTTGACCACGTATGCGGTCTGTGGGTGGAGGGTGGGGTTCGGTTTGGGGTGTGGGAGGGTTGTGTGGCAGGGTGGGGCGGGTTCATGGGTGGGTAGCATGAGCACGGAGGGTGCCGGGTGGGCGAACGGATGGCATGCATGCGTGCCCAGCTGCAGCTTACATTACATTGGGCTGAAGAATCAACAGGGGTAAGTGAGGTACCGCGTTGGCAGCACCGTCTTGCTGCACCACAGCCCCACCTGCTTCAGCAGCTTGTTCTCAAAGTCGCCGCACAGCTCCCGCCGCAGCCAGTCTGCCTGCGCCTCGGCGCTCTCCTGCGCGTCGCGCACCGCCTGCAGGAAGGGAGGTGGCGGCGGCTGTGTAGGGACAGAGACAGCGGTTGTTCGGGGGACGTGAGGGCCCGGCAGCAACAGCAGTGAGGCGTGATGCAGGCACCCGGCGCTCCAGGCAGCGCCAGGTCCCATGAGGCAGGCCGTCCCGGCAGGCTGGCAGCGTATTCATCCAGGCTGTGCGCATGCACACCTGCGAGCCGCCCTGCGTGGCGCCCTCCGCCAGGCTGCTCTGCTGGGCAGCCTGCCAGGGCTTCCACACAAACTCGACGGCTGCGGCCAGGAAGGTCTCGTGCAGCACGGGCGGCAGGTAGTCCTGCAAAGGTGCCGTCAGCGGCGGGTGGGGTGTAGCGGTGGTGGCGGGGTGAGGAGACGTGGGGCAGAAGGGTATGGAGTGCAACGCCAACGGCAACGGCGGCGGCGGCGGGGGCAACCGAAGGCAGGAGAGCGCCCAGGGTGAAGCTGAAATGTAAGAGGTGATAGCTGAGTTGATAGGCAGCAGCCAGAACCTGAAGGCACAGGTGGTAGTCGAAGGCTGGCCGGTTCAGCGCCGCCTGAGTCAGCGCCAGCTCGCCGGCGTGCTGCGTCATCACGGCGCCGCCCTGCGCCCAGGCAGGGCAGGTGGCAGCGGCGGCTTGAGGATGCAGCATTGTCAGGCAGCATGCTGCAGCTGGCATCGCCCAGCCGCTCGCGCTGGCTGCTGCCGGCCCCAGTGCTGGCCATTTCCCAAGCCACATCTGAGGACTTTTCACCGCGGCACACCACACACCGGTGCCACACCACACACCCTCTCCCCCTAGCGACCGCGCCCAGTCATTCCTGTCGCGTGTCCCCTGGCCCACCCACCACCCACCTCTGCGCTGGTCAGCTTGCCGGGGGTGGCTACGAGCGCCTCCTGCAGCGCCGGTGGCACCTCGGCAAGGATGCCCACATAGTTAAACCTGCAGGGGTGCAGGTGTGTGGGGTACTGGGTGTTGATGGGCAAGGTGCGCTGTGCGGACAGGTGTGAAGGTGGTGAAGGGGCTGGGAGTGAAGCACATAGGTTGCCGAGGCGAGCAAGAGGTGGGCAAGGCGAGGACGCTTGGCAGGGCTGGCCGGTGGCACAGGCCGGGAGGCATGCAGGCACGATCCCCGTCCGCACCTGTCCTTGAGCAGCAGCGTGTGCCAGAACTTGGAGGGGGTGAGGGAGAGCCACTGGAAGAGCTCGCGCTTGGACAGGGTGTGCAGAATGTAGTCGGCATACCTGCGGTACGGGCATGCGGCACATGCAGTACATTAGTGCAGTACTGACGACAGAGGCAGGAGGGGCAGGCAATATTGTGGGTGGGTGCTTGGCTTAGCAGTTGCCCGCAGCAGCAGGAGCCGCGGCGACAGAAGCGGCAGCGGCGGCGCCGCAGGCAGGCCCACTCACCCCACCGCCGCAGTCAGGTTGCGCTTGCCGGTGCAGAGGATGAGGGTGCTGCAGTCGGCGTGCACTACAGTGGCGCCCAGCTTCTGCAGCTCCGCAATCAGCTGCAGCAGCAGCTTCTGCATCAGCCCTTGCACCATCTGCATGACGGCACGGCCGGGCGAGGAGGAGAGCGGGACGGTGTTTTGGGTGAGTCGGGCGGCAAGAACAGATCTGGCAGCGTTGCACAGCTGCACCTGCACTAAGAGGTGTCCTGCACCCGTTGGCTCACTCGACCCAGGGGCCCGCCCCAGCCTCATAGCTGCCCTCCCAGGCAGGCGCACCTGCTTGAGTGAGGGGTCGTGCAGGCGGGACGCCGGGGAGGAGATCCAGCGGTACAGGTTGCGCAGCAGGGTGTCGGCACAACTGCGGTACATGATACCGGCACCGCAGAATAAAAACAGCGAGTCGGGAAATGCGTGCGGGCAGCCAAGGCACCCAGCACCCGTGAATCTACCACCCAGCTCCCTCCCTGCCTCCCTGCCCAAACGCACCCAGCCCCAGCCCAGCAGGCTCACATGTTGCTGCGCTTGGTGGCATCCTCCATCCAGCTCTGCGCAAGATTCTTCAGCACCCTGCGGGCGGCAGGCAGGCCGAGCGGAGAAGATAGAAGCGGATGTGAGACCGTTGATTGGTAGGCAGGCAGGCAAGGTGGCGAAGCAATGCTGCCGAGGTGAGGCAGGCAGGCAGGCAAGGTGGCGAGGAAGCGCTGCCGAGGTGAAGCAGGCAGGGATGGCAGCAGCAGGGGCCCGCACCTGAAGGCGGGGGCGCAGCCGTGCTGGTCGTCCAGCAGAGCGGAGCCCTCCATCTCGCTGATGGTGGCGGCCTGCGCCAGGTCAGCGCCACGTCAGCGGCGAGCCAGGTCAGGATGTGCCCACACGTCATCCCCCATGCACGCCGCCAGGCGAATCACCAATGCCAGCCCACTGCCGGTTCATGAGGTGTGGAGCGCAGCTAACAGCCGGAGCAGCGGCGCAGAGGCGAGGGCAGCTGGGAAGGGGAGCGGCCACCCCTGCCACCTGCCACCTGCCGCCCGCGGCTGCCCGGCCGGCCCCGCTCACCTCCAGCACGGCATTCACAGCCAGGTGCGACAGCCGCAGCTCCACGCACACACAGCGGTAGGCGCCCGGGAAGCAGATCTGGGCAGGTGGGGGAGGGACGGGCAGGCGGGAGAAAGAGTGAGGTCCAGCAGGGGTTGGGCAGCGAGGAGCTGCGCCTCTCGGCTGGTGGTAGCGGCATGCAGATGCCAGCAGCAGGACAACATCCTCCCCAGCGACCAACCCTGGCTAGGCTGCCCCACCTCTATCTGCTGCTGCTGCTCCCGCAGGGTCAGCGCCTCAGCCTGGTCTGTGGGGCGGCTGGCCAGGTCGGGCTGGGAGGGGTCGCACACCCACAGCAGGTGGCCCGCCTCGCCTGCGGGGAAAGAACGGTGACAGGTGGCACAGGCATGACACACACCATGCGTTAGGCTTAGCGATCTGCTGTGGCAGCCGTCGGATGGAGGGCCGGCAGCTGGCAGCACGGCAGGCAGGCAATCAAGCAGGGCACGGCATCCGCGGCGTGCCATCTGCCGCCAGACTTACGGAGCTGGCGGGCGAAGAGGGCATCCGAGGCGTCAATGATCCAGTCGGGGCCGATGGTGGACAGGGGGAGGTGGGCGTACTGCGCCGCCTGGATGCGGGCCTGCAGTACGATGGCGTACAGCAGCAGTACAATGCATTTCACGCCGGCACCGCGGTGCAAAAAAGCGGTACGAGGGTCAGCGGCGCGTGCTGATGGTCATGCCAGGGGGAAGGCGTGGCTGGCCAGGGCAGAACACCATGCAAAGGCGGGCAAGCAGAGGCCAGCAGCATGCGTGCCTGCAGCCACTCCCCCGCAGCCAGCAGCTGCGCCACGGCCGCCCGAGCCGCGGGCAGCTGCCAGCCCAGCGCCGGCAGCGCCGAGGTGGGCGCGGCCACCGGCATGCCGGCGGTGGGCAGGTCTGCCAGCGCGGGCAGCGAGTGCAGCAGGCCTTGCTGGTCGTCTGTGTTGAGCAGAAGCACGGTCGGGGCGCGTGCGCGGTCCCTGCAGGCGGCGGCAGCAGCAGCAGGGGAGCGGCGTGCGGAGACGGTTGCCAGCGAGCCGGCGGCCGCGGCGGCCAGGAGGCTGCGAGGCACGGGAGAGCGCTGCTGGGGCAGGCCAGGGCAGCGCATACACTTCTTTCCTCCAAGAGAAGGTAGCATGCACGCCGACAACAAACACACTGACAACAACCACACAGCATGGGTGTTTCCTGCCGCCCTCCCGCGGCGAGTCCCCACACCCCAGCCCCCACACTCCAGCCCCCACACACCCCAGCCCTCCCTCCCACCTGATGCGCCCGAGCTCCTTCTGGACCTGCTTCAGCGCCGCCTCCTGGCTGCGCACATACGCCACCTCAAACGCAGGCACCTCCCGCTCCTCCCCCTGCTGCTGCGACTGGGTTGGACCCGCTCCCGGCGACCCGCCGCCGCCGCCGCCGCCCTGCCGGCCCTCGGCGGCCGCCGCCTCGGCCCACGCCCGCTCCGCGGCGGCGCCAGACAGCTCCCGCTGGCCTCCCCTCGCCGGGTTCACCACCCATACCAGGCAGCGGCGATCCGCCGGCAGGTGCAGGGCGTAGAGGGCGCGGCCGCGGGCGGGATCGGCGGCGGCATGCAGCGTCATGTGGCGCAGCGCTCCGGGGGCGTCAAAGTACTCGTACTGCACGGTACATCGGAGACGGTACATTGGGCGGTTCATCAGGCAGGCCGCACACTGGGCAGAGCGGGTGCAGGGCGCGGCCACGGAAGGCGGCAGGCAGGAGGCCGATGCAGCCATGCCTTGCGCACACCTGTCCCGCACACCTGGTTCGCAAATAGCATGCACACAGCATGCACACCACAGCATGCAAACATCCATCCCCGCGGCAGCCCCCACCTGTGCCACCGCCTTCATGTGCAGCTCAGCCAGGTCGAAGCCGGCGCCCAGGTTGCGGCGGCGCGCTGAGGGGGCCACCACCGCCACGCACCCCAGCTGCGGGGACGCAACGAGGCGGGAGGCAGGGCAGGCGGCATGGCAGGCGGGCGGGCGGGTGGGTGAGCTAGTCCCCAGCAGAGCCCAGGTCACCCTGTCCAGTCCCTGCGCCCAATCAGCACAGCCAAGACACGCACAGCCAAGCCAAGCCAAGCAAGGCCGTGCCTCTGCCGTCCCACACATCCCACCCCACCCGCCAGCCCTGCCCCCACCTGCAGCGCCGCATTCAGCTCCGGCGGCAGCCGGTCCTCATACACGCCCCGTACCCCCGCCGCCGCCAGCCGGGCCTGCAGCTCAGGGGCGGAGGCAGGCAGGACAGAATGCTGAGGAGAGGGAGACGGGCTGTGTGTAGTTGTGTGGGGCAAGCCTGGACGCCAGCTGCTGCAAGCCTTAGGCCCCAGCGGGGCAGCAGCCGATGGCGGTTTTGGCAGACGAGACCCAACCCCACCCGGGCCAAGCGACCCGCCCCCACTCTACCTGCAGCTCTGGCAGCCGCGACCGGTAAGCCTCCTCCTCCACGCTCAGCTGGTAGGTGTGGGCTGGCTGGCGGCCGCCGGGCAGCGTGCGCCGCACGGCAACGCCGAGCCCCTCCGCCTCTGCGGCAGGGGGGCAGGGAGGGGGCGGGTGGGCGCGCGTGTGTGGGCGCATGCACGGGGCTGCCGCCTGGGCAGGGCCGCGGCACCGCAGCAGGCGCAGGGCCTGCAGGAGGCAGCGCTAGCAGCCCCCGCCTCCCGCTCCAGCACAGCACATGGCCCACAGCCATCAGCGGTACACAGCTGTACCGCAGAGCTGCGCCAGCACAGCACACAAGCGACAGCCAGCCGAAGTACACGGCTGTACAGCAGGCCTGCGGCAGCAGGGCTGCGCCAGTCGGGGTGTGCCCCCAGCCAGCTCCCACCCGCGCCCCCGCTTGGTCGCCCACCTGGCGTCCCCGGCGCCGCAGCGACATCCACATACACTGTGCGCGGGATGCGCAGCGGGATGGCATGCATGCGGCCGTTGATCACCGCCCATGCCTTGTACACGCCTGCAGGAGCGGGGCAGGGGTGCATAGCATATGGCATGGTGTGGCAGGTGGGGCGGTGAGAGCAGGCGGAAGCAGCGGCGGAGAACAGCGCTGCGGCAAAATGTTTGCGGGCGGAAACTGCGAGCAGGCCTGCCTAGCCACCCCGCCTGGCCGGCCAGCCATCCAGCCGTTTCCCCACCTGGCTCCCGAGTGGCTGCGATGCTGACTATCTGCCAGTGCGAGGCCGCCGCCGCTGCCGCCTGCTGCTGGAACATGGCGCCCACGTCTGCGGCGCCCGCGCCGGTGCGCTGGCGGCTGCCGCCGTGGCCGCCGCCGCCGGCGGCCTCGGCCCGCTTGCGTTTGCGCGCCTCCCGGCTGCGCCGCCAGTGCGCCTTCTTTCCAGCCAGCCAGCCCCGGAAGTCATCATGCGGGTCAGGCAGCTCCGCCTCCTCAGCCACCTCGGCCGCCGTGGCCGCCGCTGCAGCTGCGGCACCAGCGCCGGAGCCGCCGCCGCTGCCACCCTGCTGCCGGTTGCCGGCGTCGGCATTCTCGCCGCCCCTTGCTGCTGCTGCTGCTGCTCCTCCTGGGGTCCGCCCCACGTCCACGCTAGTGGCGATGCCCACAGGGCTGCGCCGGGCTGCCGCGGCAGCCGCAGCACCGCCGGCGCCGGCCCCAAAGTCTTCCAGATCCCCCACGGCATGTGGCTTCTGGTTCTGCAGCCAGGGCCGGCCGCAGCAGCAGGGCTTTATGGGCACAGGTTATCACCGACAGCTGCAGCAGCACACCCCTCCACGCGCCAGCAAGGCACCAGCAAGGCGCCAGCAAGGCGCCAGCAAGGCAGAGCCACCAGCAGCACACACCCAATAGCACAGCAGGGAGCAAGCACGCCCGCTGCAACACACCCGCCGCCCACCCGCCTGCCCACCTTTGCGGCCGCCCCAAACAGCGCATCGATGCGGGTCTGCTTGAAGGTGTCCTCCTTCTCCTGCACCTGCAGGCATGGCGCGGGCACAGGGTGCATTGCACCGGGTGGCGAGGGAGCAGCTCAGGCTGCACAGGACCTCGAGCCCGCTCGGCAAGTGCAGCACAGGCTGTAAGGAGCGTCCGCCGGCCCACGCCCTCCCTGCCACAGCCCAGCCCCGCTCCTCAGCCCTCTCCCCACGCACACCCAAACACCACTTTATCATTACTACTCATAGAGAGCACACACACACACACACACACACACACAGCCCGCCCACCTTCTTGTGCAGCCAGTCGGGGTGCTTCACCCGGGGCACTGGGTTGGCCAGGCGCTGCATGGCGGCAGGGATTGTGATGATCTTCTGGATGGCGTTGCCCAGCCGCTCCCTGCACACAGGAGCAGGCGGGGCAGGGGAGTAGCGCCCGGGGAGGGTGGGAGAAAGAAGGCAGGCGGGAGGTCCGGGACGGGTGAAGGGCGGCAGGGCGGGAGGGATAGGAGCTTTGGGCTTCCAGGCCATTGCCCCACACGCCACACACAGCACGCAGCGCAGCCAAAGAGACCGAAGTACAGCCGCTGCTCCAACCACCAGACAGCCGCTGTCCCAACCACCATACAGCCGCGGCCCCAACCACCACACAGCCGCTGCCCCAACCACCATACAGCCGCTGCCCCAACCACATACAGCCGCTGCCCCAACCTCCACCCCCTCACTTGTAGTAGCTCCAGTCCACAATGTGCCGCACATCGGGCACCTGGTCATCGGCCACTGCAGTCGGGCAGGTCGGGCAGGCAGGCTAGGGTCGGCTTGGGTGTGAGTGGGCAGCGCCGGGCCGCGGCCAGGAGGCAGCTACAAGGCAGGCTGGCTGCCGCTGGCTGGCGCTGGCTGGCGCTGGCTGGCTGGCTGGCGCTGGCTGCCGCTGCCTGCCAGTCCGGATCCCTAGCCTGCATCCTCTCGGCCAGCCAGCCCAGGCACGCAGCACGGGCAGGCAAGGCACGGCACCGACAGGGCGAGCAGGGGGCGAGCATGATAATAGAGCTAGGAGGCAGCCGAGGCGGGGCAGCATGGCAGGCTCGGGGCGTGCGCACCTCGGCCTACGTCCCCGCCGCACCACTTCCGCAGGTAGGCTTTGGCCACCGCAGGCTCGGTGGAGAACATGGCCACGGGTATCGCCCGCTCCGAGGTGGGCAGGTTGGAAGGGTTGCGCGCAATCACGTAGTTGCACACCAGGCCCTGCGAGGCAGGGGAGAGAGGAGGTGCAGGCGGGTGGCGCGCGGTTGCGGCGGGTGAGCGGCAGGCGGGCTGGCGGGCATGTGCGGATGGTAGGGAGGTGCGGCGGGTGGTGGGCAGGGTGCACGGAAAACAGGCGGTGGGGCGGCATCCGTGTGGCAGGGGCAGGCAGCAGGCAACGAGCAAGGCAGACCGCGGCTATGAGCAGCAGAACGCCCCCCAGAAGAAAGGCCACAGAAGCAGCGCCTGTACCTTGTCCTTGATGCGCCCGTCGCCCAGAAACTCCGATAGCCGCTTGGCGCACGTCACCGCGCAGCTCTTGCGCCCTGCGGCGGGCAGGTGGGGTGACGGGGCCAGCACGCGTTCGGGCAGGCGAGGCCGAGCACAAACGCCGGAGGGAGCGCGGTGGAAGCCCACCAGCCGCAACCAGCCCTGCGCCCCACACCCCAGCTCACCCTCATCTCCTCCAGGGCCTAAACCCTGAACCCCCACACCCACCCCCGCTCACCCTCGTACTCCTCCAGGCTCTTGCTCATCACGCACATCTCGCTGATGTGGTCAACCAGCTCCTCATCCGTCAGGTCCACGCCCTGTGTGTATGTTGGGTGTGTTTGTTAGGGGGGGTACGAGCAGGAGGAGGAGGGAGGGGGGTGAGGGAGGCGAGTAGGCACACGCCCTCGACCTGCGCCGCCCCCGCTCCCCTGCGGCTATGTGCCTTGCCCAGGCCCGGCCGCCATGCCCGCCGCCACAAAACGAGAGAACCAGCTCCCCGGCTCCCTCTCCACAACCACAGCCCATGCCCCACAACCACAGCCCATGCCCCACAACCACAGTCCCAGCCCCCCTCACCCGCGTGTCCAGCATGTCCAGCCAGCGGTTGGCCACCGCCGCCACCGCCGCGTAGCACTCCTCCAGAGAGTCGCCCTTGAGGAACTGGTCAAACACCTCACCCTGCGGGTGGCCGGGCAGGGAGGCAACGTGGGATGTCTGACCGAGGGGTGGCTCGGGTGGGGAGCAAGGTTGCACCCGGCAGAGCGGCGAGGCTGCGCAGGCCCGCGATCGACAGAGGCTCTGCGCAGGTGGCAGGGGCGCCTAGCAGCGCCGCCGGCCGGCAGCAGCAGCGCCAGTTGGCGCCAGCCGGCAGCACCGCCCACCTGGAAGACCTTGATGAGCTTCAGCTCGCCGCGCCGCTTGAGCTCAAAGCCCTGCGGGGGACGGAAGTGGGGTGTGGGGGCCAGCCGGCCGGGCAACCACCAGTCAAGCAGTACCAGCCAGCCAGCAGACCGGCCACCACAGCCAGCCAGCAGAGCCGCCACCATAGCCAGGCGCCGCAGCCCCACCTTGAGCTCCGCCAGGCTGCCGTCGAAGTTGAAGACGGCGTACCGCTTCTTGATCAGCTTCCCCTCCTCTTTGGAAGCCGGCAGGATCATGGCCTGCGGCGCCGAGGAGCGCAGGGAGGCCAGGCACCCAGGTTGGCGTGATGGCGGCAGCGCCTTACGCCCTCCAACTCCATCTGAAACGCAACGCCCCTATTGCCACCCCAGAATGCAACACCCTCCCGGAATGCAACACCCTCCCACACCTTGTAGGGCCCGTCCACCTCAAACTCGATGCTCATCTCGCTGCTGACCTCGTACTGCCGCCGCTCGCTGTCCACCAGGGTCTGCACGTGCGGCGGCATAAACAGGTCAGGGCAGCTTGGCAGGGGGCAGAGGAGAGGAGGAGAGGAGGGACCCTGTCGGCCCAGGCACCAGAGCCTGCCGCTGCGCTGCCACGCCAGCAGCCTCTCACACGCCCCACCCACCGCAAACTGGTCGTTGGTGTTGTTCTCGGCCACCGTGACGTTGAGCATGGCGCAGGGGTAGCTCATCTTGAAGACCTTGCCGGTGGAGGAGTGCTTGAACTGCGGCAGAGGAGGATGGGGTGAGCGGCCAAGACAGGTGCGTGGAGCGGGCCGCAGCAAAGGCAGAGAGAGGGATTCCACACCGCTGCAGGGTCATAGTCACGCGCTGTGCAGTACCGGTGTCCAGCGGTACCTTGAAGTCCTCCGGGAAGCTGCCTGGCAGGCAGCACCAGATGCCGTCGGTGTCCAGCTCCAGCGGCTTCCCCAGCTGCCCAATCAGCTCGTTGGCGCGCTGCAGGCAGGACATATGTGTGTGGCCAGGTGGGAGCGAGAAGGCAAGCAGCCGTTGCTGGTGCGCAGCGGCGGATCCGGTTCCAGCCCCTGAGCTTCAAGAGCAGCAGCCACAATGCCCCGCTTGCTCTGCCACAGCAGCTGCACTGCCACCCAGCACCACACACACGCACACACACACACACACACACACGCGCAAGCCTCTCGCGCCAGCCCCCACCTTGATGATGTTGGCGCCGGTATGGGTCACCACCCCCGCCATCTCCATGCTGTACCAGCGCGCCCCCTTGCGCATCACGTAGCCGTAGAAGGAGTTGAGGATGCACTTGTGGGCCAGCTGTATGCGTGTGCGGGTGTGTGGGTGTGGGATGCGGAGTGGGAATGGTATCGCGTGACGTGAGAGCAGCCCACGCCCAGGCATGCAGCAAGGGCACCAGTGCGTGTGCGGCGGCTGCAGCAGCAGCGGCGCAGGTGGTGGCAAGAGGCGGTACAGCTGTACGACCGTACCTGCAGAGAGTCGTACAGCACGCACATGTCCTTGGCCTGCTGCACCTTGATGGGGTTGCCGCTGGCCTGCGGGGCATAGGCACAGGAGAGGCTCTGGTGTGCGCGGGGCGGGGAGTCGAGCAGGCACACTGCCCGGGCCCAGGCCCCTGATCGGTTCCTCGGCAAAGCCCAGCCTGCTGCAGCCCTTCGGTCCACAGCGCCGCACCAGCGACGCAAAGCAAGAAGAGAGAAGGACAGCGCAGAGCAAAGCGTGCCGCCCCAGCAAGGAAGAAAGGTGGCCAGCCTGGCGCCGCACCTTGGCGTCGTCCAGCTTGCCCTTCCACTCCTTGGTCAGCCCCTTGTACTCGTACCGCCGATCCCTGCGGTACCAGCGATACTAGTACTCATGTGGTAAAGCTCAGGCAGTGCATGTCCGAGGCAGGCAGCATGGCAGGCAGCAGCAGCAGCCCGATCATTCCCCCACAATGTTGTGCACCACCACCGCAGGCGCAGACAACAACCCCAGCTGCGCTCGTGCGTGCACGCACCCGCACACACCGCACACACCTGAATGCGCGCACTGTGTCAACGTAGAACGAATTCTCGCGCTGGCAGATGCCCGCCACCCGCTTCTCGCTGGTGGGCTTATCCAGCACTCGCTTGTACACCTGATACGGGTGGTGCAGGCAGGGCAAAGCAAGCAGTGCAGCAGCGTGTGGTTGGTAAAAAGGCGCAGCCACAGTGTGGGAAGCGAGGAGTGGAAGGGCAGCATGTCACGCAGGCACGTGCATGCGACAGCACCGGGGGGGCATGCAATGCGTAGGCCTGCTGCATAGCGCAGGCAATGCATGGCCCTGCATCTGCAGTACATGTGTAGTTGTGCAGTACCTTTTGGCAGTACTTCTTCAGCCGGTCCTTCAGCAGCTTCCCCTTCTCCTCGTGCGCCAGGTCGGACCACAGGCGCTGCGGCCCGCCGGACTCCGCCGGCGGGAAGGTCTCAGACTGCAGCTGCGCCTTGAGGGATGTGTACTCGGCACGGGTGGCTGCAGGGTCGGGGGCAGAGGGCAGAGGACGAGGAAAGGGAGCGCGACCGGTGGGCCAGAGGGCGGTGCAGGTGGCTGTGGTGATGGCCAGCGGTGGGAGGCCACCGGGCACGCGGCACGGCTGCCCAAGCTGCCCACCCGCTCAGGTGAAGCAGGCGTCGTGCCGCCCCTCACCCGAGTATGTCTCCCCACGCCACACCCACTCCATCTGGCGCAGGCAGGTCTTGCCGGGGCGGTTGAAGTCGCAGGCGGCGCAGTCCTCGTCTGCAGGGGCCAGGGTGTGGTGTGCGCCGTGGCAGGCGTGCATGCGCGTCAGTGTGAGGTGGGTGGGTGGTGGAGTGCACGCGTCGTTCACACCGCTACGGCTCAGTCACGTAGCTGAGCCTGCACTAAGGTGGCAGGCAAGGGAATGCCCCCCAGCCAGCTGTACCTACCTTACCGCCCCGCCACTACACCACAGTCCCACACCCCCACCCACGCAGCCCACCGGTGACGATGGAGGACGGCTGCAGCCTGTTGGTGAGGATGATGTTGGGGTACATGGCGGCGACATCCAGGTGGTAGATGAGGGGCACCTCGTCCCTGCGGTGGGAGGAAAGCGTGGGGGGTGCGCCAGCGGCGGTGGGTCGGCGGACATGAGGTGGCGGCGTAGCGTGCGGGTGGCAGCAGCTACGCCCCCGGCGCGCGGCGGGGCCGCAGTGGCGAGCCTGCGCATCAGCTGCTGCCCGGCGTGCCAGCCTGGCGCGCCGCTGCCTGCGGCTGGCGGCCCGCAGAATGCACGCAGGGGAGGCCATGCTGCAAGCTGCACATAAGCAGGCATGCACCTGGTGGGGGTGTCCCGCAGGCGCTCCAGCATGCTCCGAATCTCATCCCGCACCTGCAGGGCGGGGCAGGGCGGGGTTGGTGGCGGCCGCCGCCCAAACACGCCGATGAGAAGGCAGCAACAGGTCCGACGCAGCAGGCTTGCACTGGCCTGCACTGGCCTGCCTCCTCGGTGAGCCAGCCGGCCAACCAATCCCATCCCAGCCCCACAACCCACCTCTGCGTAGTTCTTGCAGTCCTCGGGTGCCATCTTGCCGTCTGTCCTCAGCGCATACTCCAGGTCGCCGTCCAGCTTGTCGATGAGGCGCTGCGGGGGTGGTGGTGTGCGGGCGGGAGGGTGGCGGGACAGAGGGATGAGCGAGGGAATGTGCATATGTAGGGGATGGGGGTGGGGGCCTGGGTGTGTGGGTTGAGTGGCGAAGAAGCGGGAGTGTGTGCAGAAAGGTGTGATGAAGACGGAGGGCAGGCATGTGCCGATTTGCACCAGGGGCACCACCCATGCACAAAGGCACCACCCAGGCACCCACCCAGCCGCCCGCCCACCCACCTGGTACGCCTCTGGCTTGCACCGGAACTTGGTGGGAAGGTCGGAGCGGAAGACGCCTGCACGGAGGTGGAAGGTGACGGGGTGGGGCCGGCGACAGCCGGGAGGCTGGAGCAGAGGGCTGGAGACAGCCGGGCACCCACCCGCCCCTTGTTGCATGTCTCGGCAGCCCTGCCGCCCCCCCGACACATGCACGCGTCCCTCCCTCCCACACCAAGGCCCTGCAGCTGCACCCACCCTGCCACACCAACCCCTAACCCTCACCCGACTCAATCGCCTCCACCTTGCCCCCGATGTATGTCTCGCTCTCCAGCAGGTGGCCCTTGTACATGCGCTCCGAGGCGGCGGTGTGCTTGTTGGGGGCCACGATGCGCGCCTGCATGCGGGGTGAGCACGCGTAACGTGCGCGCGTGGGGCAGGGGTCGCGGACCGGCTTCACACGACACATGCAGGGCAGCTGCGCGGCGCTCTGCCCGGCCTGGCAGCCACCTGCTTCTGTCTGCTGTTGGCCAAGGCGGTGAAAACCAGGCTCCCTTTAGGCGCAGCCACCCCCAGCCGCCCACACATTTCTAAGGAAAAGGACCCAAACATGCCAAAGGGGAGAGGAAGGGTGGCGGCAGCCCACCTGGTATGCCTGCACCATGAGCAGCATCTCGCACAGCGTGCCCGACCCCTTGCGCAGCACCTCGTCGGGCGGCATGGGGATGATGGTGGACAGGCTGCAAGTGGTGTGTGTGTGTGTGAGGCAGAGTGTGTGTGTGGCAGGCAGGGGTGCAGGCATGAGCAGCAACGCCCCTGCTCCCTACTTGGCTGCGCATCCTCCCCAGGCCCCCCCCGCGCGGAGGCTACAGGCAGTCCCCAGCGCCACACACACCTCAACACACAGCCCACAACCCGACACGCGCCCAAGCAGACGACGGGGTGGGATGCCGTATATGCCATGCAATGGATGTAGGTCATGCACAGACTGCCCCGCTCTCCCCTGGCATGCACCCCCTCCCCATGCTCACGAGAAGATGAAGGGGTGGATATAGGTCATGTAGAGGTAGTAGGTGGAGACGGCGTCAGACACAGAGTAGGCGGCCATGTCCTGCGGCCGCTCGCTCGCCAGGCGCACCTGCAGGGGGCGCGGGGGGAGGACGAGGGGAGGTTGGGAGGGCTGGCTGGGGCTGGGCAGCATGGAGGGGAGGAGCAGGGCAGGTGCTGGGGAGTGCGGACGGCTTGTGGGGGGCATGGTGGGAAGAGCAGGCATGGCCCGAGAAGCAGAGCGACGTGCGAGAATGCTGAGCAGTACCACGGCGGTACCACGCACCATATCCTCCGGGTCCACCTCCACGGGGTCGTACCCCAGCTTGTACTTGGTCACCATCTGCGGCACAGGTATGAGCGATGCAGGTGTGGTTGTAAGCGGGGGCAAACGGCGCAAGGGGGCGAGCCTGGCAGCCCAAACGCACGCGCTGCCAGGCGCCTGGTGCCAGCAGCGCCGCCCACGAGGGAAGATGAGCAGCCACGCAGGGTCAGCAGCACCCACAGGCAGCAGGCCGCAAGCCCACCTTGAGGCCACGCGAGCCCTGCGGCAGGTACGAGTCTCGGTTCACCCAGTGCAGGCAGTCCATGTGTACCGCCATCCTGCAGGCAGTACAATGGTGTCGGGAGGAGCATGCCATCACCATCAACCACAGCATGTGGGGCAGGGCGCGCAGCAGGGCAGGGCGGCCAGGCCAGCGCCGTGCTGCGGCCGTCATCTCAGGGCCATGCAGTCGCCTGCCGGCCATTCATTGTCACCCCGGCTCACACCGCAGCTCCCTGCCTGCCAACGCAGCCCCACAGCCCACCTGCTGAGCGTCTCATTTGACTTGCGGTTGCAGGCGAAGCCGATTTCCTTCTCCATGTCCATGCCGTGCTTGGCGGCGCGCGTCTCTGCAGGGCAGAGGGAGGAGAAGGACAGGGTGACAAGGCAGAGTACGTGGCGGCGGCAGCGGCAGCTGGCTGGCGGGCTGGCTGCCAGCGGCCCGGCCTGCCGGCGGAACAGCTGGCTCCCAATCCCACCAGCCCCACCTATGAAGGGCCAGTCAAAGAAGTCTCCGTTGTAGGTGACGTAGATGGCTGGCTGGACCTGCGCAGAGGAGGAAAGCGGGAGAGGAAAGGTTTGACTGGCGGCGGCGGGGAACTGTTGACTGGTGGGGCGCAGCAATGAGGATCGCGGGCCGCAGCTGACATGCGGGGGCAGCGCAGCTGCGAGCGCAGCCAGGCCCTAACACAGCGCCCTAGCCAGCCCAGCACCCACCTCCCGCATGTGGTCAAACCACTTGCGCAGGCAGGCCGCCTCGTCGGCGCAGTTGAAGACGTGGAAGGGGCCTGCAGGGCGGGGGTGGAGGGTGGGGGGGGGTTGGTTGGGACAGATGCAGACAGCAGGAGCAGCACTACCTTGGTTGAGAGATATAACAGCAGCTGCCTGGCAGCTGCCGCAACCGGGCCAGGTTCTCACACCACCAGACCGCCCGCTGCGACACGCCCTCCCTATTCGCGCTCGCTCACCCTCAAACTCCGGCTTGGGCGTGTACTCAAAGTTGCCCACGTCTGCCCCCACCACCTCCCGGTTGATGATGAGGTAGCCCTGGCGGTCGAGCATATAGGAGATCATGAAGACCTGGAGGGAGGCACGGCGGCGGTACAGGGGCAGTACATGGGTGGTACGTGCGAGGCAATGCGGCGCACTCCCGCGCTTCCTCTAGGCAGGCACCCTTCTAGTCGGAGCTTCCCCTCTCGAGGCTGCGGCTTCTACCCCCTCAAACCACCAGTAAATACAAAGCCCACAGGACCCACCTGGTCGTACTCTGCGTTGGGGAACTGCAGCGGCAGCTTGGTGGTCTCTGCGGCAGAGGAAGCACAACGGTGGGCGAGGGCGGGAAGGCCAGGCGTGGGCAAGGCAAGTGAAAGCAGGCCAGCTTGTTCTGCCCAGGCCAGCTTGCCCCAGCAGCTCATGCCAGCCAGCGTCCCTGCCAGCGCACGCCAACCAGGCCCAGCTGGCCGGCCCGCCCTGCCCGCCACGCACCGATGTCAAACGCGCACACGCGAGGCTCCGCACGCTGCAGCAGGTCGGCGCGCCGCTCCAGCGTCACCTTGCCGCCCTGCGGTAGGGGGCAGGCAGGCAGGGAGGAGGGGCGCACAGGCGCGAAGGCATGAGGGAGGGAAGGGGGGCAGCAGAGAGATGCTACGCTGCAGGAGGCTCCAACCGGCACGATGCGGCAGCGCTGCCGGCTGCACTGGGCTGCCCTCCCGCCTCCCACCTCCCTCCCGCACCCCTTCCCACTCCCCCACCGTCCTGTCCTATCCCCTTCCCACCCCCCATCATCCAGGCGACCCCCTACACCAGCACCGCCCACCTTGGCCCGCACTGTGAACCAGTGGCCGCAGCGCACGTCGGAGTCGATGGCGTACCTCACATGGTACGGCACGTCGTGCTCCCGCATCTCCACAATGCTCTCCAGCGCATCCTGCGGGCGGGGTGGTGTGGTGTGGTGTGGTGTGTGTGTGGGGGGGTGGGTGGGTGGGGGGGTTCAGGGCTGGCCAACGTGGCGGGCTTTGAGGGCGGTAGGGCGGTAGGTTCGTGGAGAGCGGTGGCAGCTGGGCGGCGGCAGGCAAGGGGAGGCTGGCAGCTGGCAAGGGTGGGAAAGGAGAGCGGTGGAGCTGAGCGGGCACCCTCCCCTCGTCTCCCTGCAGTGCGCCCCACACTGCCCCCCTCCCTTCTCAAACCCACACCTGCAGCCGCTCCTTGCCGGCCTTGGCCGCCGCGGGCCGCTGCTGCTCCGCCAGCAGCTGGTAGGCGGAGGTGCCGTCGCGGCGGTACCGGTTGCGGCTCACAATGGGCTGCACCTCGCGCCGCGTCTGCGGGGTGGGTGTTGCAGTGTTGTTGTTGCTGTTGTTGTTGCTGTTGTGTTGTTGTTTGTGTGTGGGGTGGAGTGTAGGTGCATGGGTGGGTAGGAGGGCAGCGGCAACGGCAGCGGCAGCGAACAGCCCCGACGCAGCAACGCACCCGGCGAGGAGGCGGCGAGCGGGCAGCAGCACAGGCAGCAGGAGCCCCCGCAGGTGCCACGCACACACACACACAAACACACACATACAAGTCTGTGCAGCAAGCTTGTTCTTGCTGAAACCGACTGTAAGCCCACGTACACACGCGCAGCACGCACACACACACACACACACACAGCAGACGGGCCTCACCTGCTGCAGCTGCTCCTGGTTCCAGAAGGTCAGCTTGAGCAGCTTGCGCTGGATGCCGCTCAGGTGGTTCTTCTGCGGGGGCCGGGGGAGCGAGGGGCCCGCGGGGTGGGCAGGCAGGTGGGTGAGCAGGCCAGTGGGTGCGGCGGGCGTGGTGGTGGACGGTCCAGGGGGTGGGAGCAGCCAGCACAGGCAGCCGAGCAGCGGCAGCGGCAGCAGCCAGCGGCAGATGCACAGCGCCAAGCAAGCGCAAAAACACCACCAGCGCCCCACACCTACCACACCCCACATCCGCACACCCCCCACCAACCCACCAGATCCAGATCCTCCCGCTGCACCACCTCCACCTCCTTGAGCGCCCCCTCAAACTTGCGGCGCAGCCAGCTGTCCACCTCCATCTCCAGGTCGTCCTGCGGTACATGCGGGGACGGTACGCGCAACGCGTCGCGGCGCGGCGCGCCACGGAGGCGCAGCACATGCACTGCGCGCTGGCGGCTCGCGGCCCCTGCCGCTCCCACCCGCAACCCGGGCCTGTCTCCCTGCAACTGCTGGCTGCAGTGCCCCACATGCCCCACGCCCACGAACACCTTGCACACCGCACACCCGCACCACCCCACACCCACCTTGACTTGCAGGTAGAAGTAGGGAGCATACTCCACCTGTGCCTTGAACATGCCGCCGTCCTGCGGGCAGCGCGGCGCGGCGGGGAAGCGCACCCTAGCTTGCGGCACGACCGAGGCGGCGGCACCGGGCTGCTCCACACCTCACCGCTCGCCACCACGGCACGCACCGCCAGCCGGCACCGCACACACTCCTCTCACACACCATTACAGAGAAGCACACACACCACACACACACACCTGGCACATGAAGTAGCAGTTGACCACGCTGAACGCATGGCCGCTCTCCTTGTCCACCTTCTGGCTCTGCAGGGGCGCGTCGTGGAGAGGCCGGGGCGAGCGGGGGGAGGGAGGGGCGGTCGGGGCAGCGCCGGGCTGGGGCAACACCACAACCCATGCACCGCCACATGGGCACGCACGCGCACACTCTCTCTCTCTCTCTCTCTCGCTCTCTCTCTGTCTCTCTCCCCCCCACACACCACACACCACCACCACCACCAACAACACACTCTGTCGGCCTCTGTCTGCCACCACACCTGGTTCATGTTCATCAGCCAGCCCAGGCGGTCGGGCCCATCGGTGTGCAGTGCAAAGCCCAGCGCCGCCTCTGCCGCATGGTCGTCCTCCTTGGGGGCCGCAGCAGCTGCGTCGGCGTCGCCGCCGCCGCCGGGCGCGTCGCCCCGCCGCCCGATGTAGTTGCCGTTGTTCATGCCGCGGTTGAGCAGGCGCCGGCCGCGGCCGCGGCCGCCGCCGCCGCCGCCGCTGCGCAAGCGCGGAAAAGGGGCACGCGGGGGCGGGTGGTGGAGGCGGGATGTGGGCAACGGGCCTCCAGCGCAGCCGGCATGCCATGTAGGGGCGATCGAGGACTGCAGAGCTGGCCTCCCAACACACTCAGTGCTGGCCCTGGCCTGTGAGCAGCTGGCGGCAGGCGGCAGGCGGCGGCGGCGGCGGGGCTCACCCATCGTGCGCATCCCGGGCACGCAGCGAGCTCACTCCCGCGCCCCTGATGTTGCCAAAGGCCGGCGTGTGTTTCTTCATCCCGCCCGCCTACTGCCTCGCCTGCTGCCGGCTGTCTCAGTCACCACATGGGCTGCTGGCGGGCCTGTGGCTGCCTGTAAGTGGCTCTCAGGAGCTGCCTGGGAGATGCTGGAGTGTTGTGGGGCCTGCAGACGATGTGCCGAGGCCAGCGTTCCACCGCAAGAGTGATCGCAAGGCTGCTGAGCACGCTTCACGACCTCAGTCGAGTTGCGGGAGCTGTGCGATGATCTGGAAGAATGCGATGGGGGGCTGCAATGCTCTCAAGGCCTCGCCTGCCACGCTGTCACCCACTTGAAAACTATCCCGTCTTTCAGCGCTACTAGCCTCTGTCCACGTTCCATCCGATCATGGTATCCCGCTGCGCACTGCGAGCTTGCTCCACCCTTCTGCCGGTCTGCGCCAGGGCGCCGCCGCCTGCCATGCCGCCACTGCCTGGGTGCAGAGTTGAGCGACGAGCTGCTCGCCTGCTATGATATATAGGCCCCGGTCAGCAGCCGTGTAGGATCGGCACGCCTCTGCCGGCACCGCTGCAATGTGCGCCCGGCGCCTGCTTGTGGCGGCGGCGCCTTGTTCCGCCCCGCCCAGCCACAGCACATTGTGCAATCAGTTGTTGCTTCACACAGGTGTTTTGGTGGATCACTGGAGTCGCCATAGTGCCAGCCTGGGGCCGCTCGAACATGTGCACGCATGTGCGTGCCACGGGAAAAAAGAGAGGAAAAGAATTGGTTGGTGCCGGCTGGGCAGTGCAGGCCAGCAGCAGCGGCATAAGGAATTGGCAAAGAAGTGGGGAGGCAGGTCGGGAGGGGGCCTTGATCTGGCAGCAGAGCGGGGGGAGGGAACGGCAGTTGGGAGGGGTGCGCCGGGGCGGAGATTGAGCAGGAACAATGACAAGTTTGGACGGACAGGTAAATGAACTAAAAACTAAGAGTGGCAGGAACTAAGAGTGGCAGGGCGGGGCGGCAGGGCAGCCGGTGGAAAAGAATCGAAGGATAGGGGGAGAGGAGGGAATATTCAC